TGATAGATGATCGTTATAGTAATATCCAGAAGAATGCCATGTTGTATTATCTTTGTTATAAGTTTAGCGATGAAGTTCATTACGCTTCCTTCAATATATCCTCACGTATAACTTATGGATATTAAGTGTAATCATAGTTGTAGGCAATATGTATTCCAAATAATAAAGGTTTTTATCATGTCAGATGACAACAATTTTATTGATTAAAATTTGTAGACATGTGTAATAAATTAAACATTACATCCAAACAACCATCGCTTAGGCTTCTAGGCCGCGCAATGGGAAAGCACTCAAAATCTTGTGGTGTGTTGATGGGTTGCCCTAGTCGCATTTAATAGAGCTATTCTTGCATCTCTTGTTGCTATGTCTTGGGCGCGATCTTCATTGTAAGAAGTGATTGATCCCACTTGGGAAATTGAATCTTCTGGGCCTACGTTGGATCCCACTAGACCATCAATGCTATGCCTACTTGGGTGAAGAGGTTGCATTGATGCGCTGACGACGGTATGAGCTTGGCGATGGCTTTGGACGCGTTGTAGTGCATTGACTTTGGGTTTCACAACATGTTCAACAGAGACATCGTCCCCGCTAAATTCGGGACATAGTATCTTAATTTTAGGGAGTTTTAGGGTCGGTTTTCGTGTTATCTCCTTCTCCGTTGATAGCTTAAGACTGGCCTTTATCTTGCAGAACCTGGAGGTTTCAACGACGTTAGATCCCATCAGTCTGTATCTTGCTACCCATGGCCTCTCTTTTTCGGACATTGAAATGTACGAAGTTCCGTAGTAGCACAAGTTTATAGCACAATTAATTGGCAATTGGAATGTGGCCTGCAACTGGTCATCTTCCTGCAACCTTGTGTCTCTCATCTCAAGAATAATTGTCCTGGTCGCGTTATAAGGACACTGGGGACTGTAAGCGATGAAACATCTGTCGATGCAATATGAGTGCCCCTTTAATATGTGAAAAGCTTGTGAGAGAAGGGTTGGAAAGCTCAGGTGTAAGGGTTTCCAGGTTGAAGAAGCGGATGCTTCATGGATATCTAATTTGTGAGTATCCATGCGCAGGGATGTTAATCGGGAAAGGTGATCTGTTTTCATAGTGGGCCTACGTTGTCATTTTCCTACTTTTCTCCATTCCAACGAGTGAACTTCGAGAATCAATTTTTCATTCACACGTTATCCGTTTTGAGTGTACCATATATCGAATTGTAGCCCTTAACAAAGGGAATCTGAAACCACTTTGACCCGACCCAATCAAAAGTGGACCACACTCAAAATATTGCCCCTAATCAACCATTTAATGCAATTTTCAAAACATTTTTCCAACAAAAACAACTAAAACTAATAATTTACGTCTTATTTGACTCTCAATTTCTAAAAATTAAATGAATGTATTTTTAATGAATTGAAAAAAGAAACAAGAAAGATCAATCATGCGTGAAGGTAGCATGGCTAGTGTCGACAAATGACCACAAATTATATGGTACAATCAATATTTTTATAATTAATTTCAGTTTGGAGGACAAAAGTTAGAATCCTTATTTCTCTTTTCCTGCACTCATTTCTTGTGTTTGCCGATCATTGCTTCTATTGTGTTCTTCTCCTTTCTTTTTTCTTTTTCATCCACAACTCTTAATATATAATTATAATTTGCGCATGTGAATTACTAAAAAATATTAAATCAAATAACCATACGATTAAAAATATCCATAATGCCTCTTTTGTTAATAGTACAATATTGTTTTTTCCTGAAATTCACTCATAAATATTGAATGTCTATTAATAGTTTATTAATGTCAAAGTGAACTTTAATTCCTTTCTTGACAAAATAGTTTATTACTCTATTTCTTGCTACACTTTATAAAATATTAACATATCTATGATTTATTCTGCATAGTCATTTTTGTTTAGGACAAATTTTACTAGATTGTTCTACATCTACATTTTTGAATATTTTTTAGTTTGATGCTTAAAGATTTTGTTAAATGGATAATATATGTTTTTCTAACGATTATGATGTGTTTATTACATGTTAAATTTAATTTTGAAATGAGTTTTATGTTATACTTAAATGAGTACAATGTATATTAGAAATGAGCATACATTGATGAATATATCAAATGAATTAGTTGATTTTTCGAATATATTATGTTTATGATTTAAGAATTGACTTTATTTTATACTTATATGCACATATAATTTAAAAGAAATGAGCATAAAAAATTAAAATGAGTGTACACTTGTTATGAGCATATTGCTTGATTAAAACACATGTCCTATTTATGTAACATTATAAAATGAAAACAACAAATTGATACAATTATAAATTATTTTTCTAATTTATCTCATTGCCAGAATGACTTATAATTGAGTAAATATATCTTATTATATTAAGACTGTATTCGAAGAATACATATTACATTTATAAATTTTTGAAATGAGTTTATGTTGTATTCGGATGAGCGTACTACTGACGGTGAATGTGCATGATGTAATATTTTAAAATGAGCATATTATGTGTGGATTATTGAAATAAGTTTTGGTTATACTAAAATGAGTATAATCTCTACAAACTTATAAGGGTCAATGAAGGTAAGGGTGATTTAGGTATAAAAAAATTGTTGGTGTAATTCATGGCTTGGTTCACTTGTAGAGCATGCTTAACCGTTTGTAAATCTTTAAACTTCCTGTAGTTTATCTCCTTTATTAGGCAACGCCGTTTTTTTCCGCCAATATGCCTCCAAACACTCCAAATTAATAGTTTTAAGAAGCCTAGATTGAATTGCTTGTGAGTTGTAATATTCTCATGTTAATATTTCGTTTAGTGACTTCCCCATGGTTGAGGCAGTGACAGAGTTTTACAAGTATTTTGAGCCTAACCGAGACTAACTTCTTTTTCTCTGTCTTATTTTGATTACCATTTTCTTCATTTTTTCTTAACAATTGAAATAGGTTTAAGAAATTAAAATTGTAGCTAGAAATTGAAATTTTGTAATGGTCAGAATTGTGAATGACTTTACCACCCTAAAATAAAAAGTAGAACAATGTGAAAAAACTCTTTACTAGCATCAAAGAAGAGTAAATAAAAAAAGACATTAGATAACAATCTTAGATAGTTAGATTAATATATACCCTTTATATCACCTGCGTTTTAATAGGATACTGAACAATCAAGTCTTGATTTCCTTGTAGTTGCATATTAAGGGCCTTTGTTGAGCTTTTTTGGATTAACTTTTTTGTTTGTTCAATGTTAATTTGTTATAGAACACATGATTGTTCTTAGCTAGATAGAAAGTATAATGCACAATAAGACTAATCTTGTCACTTGACTTGTCTAGTATAAGTTTCATTTCCATATATTTTAAGATCTCATACTACATAGAGCCGTCAAAATGGGCCGAAACCCGCAGGTTGACCGTTATAAAGAGGGTTTGAAGTTAATTAAATGTCAATGTCAAAGATGAACTTAGTGCTTGCTTTCTCCATTTTATTTTGTTATTAATTGGCCCGGATATTATTAGTTTATTACTTTGATTTATTTGTGAAATTGGGTGATCATACTATAGTCTTCAAGCGTAACTTATGTTTTAAGGCCGTTTGGCAACCCTCATTTTTGGCTTATCAGGCTTATCAGTCAACTTTTTTACCAAACACGTAAATTTTGTTTTCGCGCACTGAATTGTGTAATAAGCCGAAAAAGTAAGGTTAGAGTTACTTTTCTGGCTGTATTGGCTGATGTTACTGTAGATGACCATTTTAGCTATTTTTACATATAATTTTTTCTTTATTTTCTTAATAAAATATATTTTAAAAATATTTTTTTCTTGTATCAGCAGAATCAGCCAATGCAGCCACTTCAGCCAGAACTTCATAAATTTCAGCAGAATCAGCCAGAACTTCCGATTTTCGTGCTGCCAAACGGGCTCTTTGTATGTCACTGAAGAACATAAGGGTACAACAAAACACACCATGGTGGTAGAGTGTGGTGCTCACATATATACACTTTAATATGGCCACACTCTTTTGCACGTGCTGCTGGAAATGACATTGTCCTTTCCTTCTCAAAACTAAATATGTACATGAGAGTGTGAGCAAGAGTATATTACATTATCATTCTCAAGTTGGAATATCATAGGAGATAGTTGCAAGTAAAACCAAAGTGTGAAGATTGGGTTGGCTAAAATTCCAGTTGAGCATCTGTATTATGATATCTCTTTCTAACTTCACACCCCTTATGCGTTTTTACCTTAGATTCTGCTACTTTTTGTCAGTGTGAAGGAAACATATTCTGGATTATCATTATTAAGGTATGGACAATTTCCTCTATAGTAATTACTTGTTTGGTGAAAAAATTAGCTAATAAGCTTGATAATTTAAAAACACGATAACCAAGCATATTTATAAACTTATCATTTAAAATAGGCTAAAGGGTCAAATAGGTACATGAACTAACTTAAAGTGTTCAATTAGCCCCTTATTTAGGAAGTTCTGTCCGTCCGTCACCAATTGGGGCGGTTCCCGATGGAATTTTTTGATGAATTTTTTTGAGCATTTTCTTCGTTAAGTCTAGTTTACCCATATCAAATTTCAGCTAAAAATTAAGTAGGGAAGGCAGTCAAATGATTTTTCAAAATGTACTGCGCTGTTTAACTGCGCAGTTATTTTCAAAAAATCATTTGACTGCCTTCCCGGTTGAATTTTTAGCTGAAATTTGGTATGCGTAAACTAGACTTAATGAAGAAGATGCTCAAAAATTTTATCAAAAAATTCCACCAGGAACCGCCCTAATTGGCAACGGCCGAGCAGAATCTCCTATATAAGGGACTAATTGAACACTTTAAGTTAGTTCATGTACCTATTTGACCCTTTAGCCTTTAAATTATTTATTTTAAATATTTTAACTTTCTTACAAATTCTTGTTGTCCGTTCTTCCATATTCCAATCTCAGATCTCCTCGCTTTGGAAACAAAAAAGAAATGAAAAAGAAAAAAGTTAAAAAGCTTTCGTTCATTCACAGTATTATAGGCCATTTCTGAAATTACCAATTGCCCTCGAAATGGCCTCCCGATTCGCAACCCGCCTCGCCTCTACTGTTGTCCGCTCCGCCACGGCCGCCGCCGTCCCTGGTACCATCTTCCACTTCAGCGCCACCTCTGCCGTCGCCAATCTTCCCAAACCTTATCACTTACTCTCTATACTCCAATCTCGATCCCATCCATCACATGTTCTCCCTCATGGCCCCCTTTCTCTCCGATCCTTCGCCACCGTAAGTCGCCCGAGCCGTCCCCATCGATCAGCCAAGCCAGATATTGGCGCCCGAGCTAGGCAGATGCAGACGCGGCGTCTCTGGACCTACGCTCTAACCTTCAGCTGCGTTGCGGGATTCATCATCATCGTGCTCAACCAGTTCCAAGACCAGCTCGTTTTCTACGTGACCCCGACGGATGCGGTCGCGAAGTACAAAGAAAACCCTACCAAGGCAAAGTTCAGGCTCGGCGGGCTGGTATTGGAGGGGAGTGTGGGGCAGGTACCTTCATCTCCAGAGATGGAGTTCGTGGTCACCGACTTATTGACTGACATTTTGGTCAAATACGAGGGTTCCTTGCCGGATCTTTTCCGGGAAGGTCATTCCGTGGTGGTTGAGGGGTTTATAAAGCCGTTCAGTGAGGAGATGAGGAAGAAGGATGAGGGGGCGGTGAGAGAGAATAGGTTGATGGTCACAGAGAAGGCCAGAAGTGGAGATTTTTATTTTGAGGCCTCAGAAGTGTTGGCTAAACATGATGAGAAGTATATGCCACAAGAAGTCGCTGCTGCCCTGGAGAAGAATAAGAAGTTGCTAGAACAACAACAGAATGAGCAAAGCAGCAGCGAAGCTATACCCACAGCATAAGGAGATTTTGATCATTGCATTGTCACAGGTCTGATATTCTTTTTTGCTTGACATATGAACTCTTTTAGAACTTCCTTGGGCATGTATGTTTATGGTTAATTATACACATAACAGATTAGATTGAGGGAAATCAGGGAGGAGATATAGGACAATTTGAGTTGATAAACCATCTGATAAATGGGATTATTTTGTTCCTATTGTTTGGTTGTTCCATTTTTGTGTTCATTTAATAGATTGTATTGCCTACCCACAATAATTGTGGGTTACAAACTGAGATTGGCATGGTGGTTAATAAAAGTCGGATTCTTTTTCATTTAATAGAGCTTCTTGGGAATGCCTGTTTTTATTCAAAGAAATGCATTCAGGAATCAGGAATGGTGCTGGGGTTTTCATTGTGGGGTGAGTTGGTCTTCAAACAATGATAAGTACTGAGTATATTAATGGAATTGCAACTCATGGGTAAAAATGTGACCTCCTCCTTAATTGATATTGAGCATATTTGATGGGTATAATGATACTATGACAAGGTGTACAGTGACTAGATAAATCTGCTTCTCTTTGTTCTTTCGAAGGAAAAGAGATGTTCTATTCTGAAAAAACACATTCAAAAAGAGCAATGCCCTAGGATGAGTAATAGCCTTGTATTTTTCTGTTTTTCCAATGCAAGGTTGAGTATGGAAGGTTGACACTGACTATGTAGTTATATTTTGTTTTTAAATTTAGTTTTAGTAATATTTTTGGAAACCCCCCATTATTTCTTAGGTTGTTCCCATACTTCAGGGTGACTACTAAAAGTATACATAAGAATGCTTAGATTTATAGTATATCGACCAAAATTTGGAGGGTGAGGTCACCATGGAACAGCTGCCACAACCAGCCCCCTTGGCTTGTCCCTAAATGCTAAATTCATTGATGACTACTATCATAGTTTAAATAGTTGAAGAAACTATAAAATTCTTTGTAGTGTTCGACAGACTAGGGGAGGGATATGCTATTTTTTGTGAATAATCAATAGGTCTTTCAGATAGTCTTGAAGGTGTTACTTTATAGGCGCAGGGCGTCACTCCTGGAAGGGCAATATATGGACGTGTACCTAAATGCCAATCTAGTGGCCATGGTAGTGCGCTAGGGTTGGGCTATTCCACCTTTTGAGTCCTAGTAACCATGGTACTTGTGGAAGTGTGATTCCTTGTGCCTCCCCCTCCCTCCCACACTTTTTCTTAGAGCTATGTTTGGATGCCGGAAAATGCTAGAGAAATGAAATGTCTAGGATAATTCATAAGAAATGAAATAAATTGTTAGCGTTTGTATGATAAAAGTTAATTCTAAAAAATTAAATTGAACAAATAACAAACTTAAATTTAATAAGTTCAAATGAATGGTTTATTTTCCTCAACGTAAAATTTCTTTCATATCAAACTTCTAAATTCTCCTCCCCGTTTACTTTCCGTAGCATTTCTCAAGTTCCAATTGGACCCTAAAATTTTGAGGAAAAGTTTTCCTCTTGCTGGAAGATGAAAGTACTTTGCTCTTGTGTAGCAGGATTTTTTTATTTATTTTCATTGCTAATGGAAGAATATATGGGAGAATAATAAATGGGGAAACTGGAAAAGGGAATCAACCAACAGTTGGTAGACAATCGGCAAAGAGAATAAAACAGAACAAATAAAATAGGGCAGAGGAGGTGGTAGGGTTGGTGCTCTCATGTAGAAAATAGCCATTTCAGCAATTCAGCCTAATATAGGCCTATTAGCTACAGTTTTTACTAAACCAAAGTCACTCCTGGAAGGGCAATATATGCGCAGGGCGTCACTCCTGGAAGGGCAATATATGGAGGTGTACCTAAATGCCAATCTAGTGGCCATGGTAGTGTGCTAGGGTTGGGCTATTCCACCTTTTGAGTCCTAGTAACCATGGTACTTGTGGAAGTGTGATTCCTTGTGCCCCCCCCTCCCTCCCACACTTTTTCTTAGAGCTATGTTTGGATGCCGGAAAATGCTAGAGAAATGAAATGTCTAGGATAATTCATAAGAAATGAAATAAATTGTTAGCGTTTGTATGATAAAAGTTAATTCTAAAAAAATAATTTGAACAAATAACAAACTTAAATTTAATAAGTTCAAATGAATGGTTTATTTTCCTCAACGTAAAATTTCTTTCCTATCAATCTTCTAAATTCTCCTCCCCGTTTACTTTCCCTAGCATTTCTCAAGTTCCAATTGGACCCTAAAATTTTGAGGAAAAGTTTTCCTCTTGCTGGAAGATGAAAGTACTTTGCTCTTGTGTAGCAGGATTTTTTTTTCATTGCTAATGGAAGAATATATGGGAGAATAATAAATGGGGAAACTGGAAAAGGGAATCAACCAACAGTTGGTAGACAATCGGCAAAGAGAATAAAACAGAACAACTAAAATAGGGCAGAGGAGGTGGTAGGGTTGGTGCTCTCATGTAGAAAATAGCCATTTCAGCAATTCAGCCTAATATAGGCCTATTAGCTACAGTTTTTACTAAACCAAAGTCAGCATATTTCAGCTATTGTTAGTAGAAAATAGCCAACCCCCGAACTCTTTTGGGAATAAGGCTTTGATGTTGTTCTTCAGTACAAAAAAGTTGGGGCCTTGAGTTTTATGCTGGGACAGTGGTTTTGATTGTAACTGGACTCCCAAAATCATAGATTGATGAACAGAAAACAGCTTAGCCAATCTCGAGACATTCGAAGCTCGTGGCAAGATATCGGTAGCATCTGAGTTGCTGTAATTGGTTGCTCCTTAAATCAGACCTGCCCGTCAAGTTCTGAGCCTCTGAGGTCTGAATCCGTAGGCCACTTGTCCCTAAGTGAAAGTGTGAGGATGCTTGGAGATGGGAAGATTGAATCAGCGCCACATTGAATGAAATATTCTTTCTTAATTTAAAGTATTAGTCTATTAATATAGATATGAATTTCATATTGATGATTTGCCATGGTTAGAAAGAGGAAGCACAGCCCTCCTATGCAGGCTATGCCCAATATGCACTATGCACAAGTCGAGGGGATCAATTTGCACAAGCGGGGACGATGTTTACATTATTATTCCGTGTGTTAGAAAGAACTAGTTTTTCACCCGTGCGATGCACTGAGTGTGAATTTTTATAAATTGAAAAAAGTGAAAATTATACTCCCTTTGTCTCATAATTAATTCTTTTTTTGACTTTGAGACGGGGATTTAAAAAGTAGAAAATATGTAGACTAAAGTTATAGGGAGGAAAACAAAAATATTATGAATCACATATTCTTTGTTGTAAAAGAAAGAAAAAGTCTATTAAGATAAACAAAAAGGAAAGATTGAAATTTAGTGTTTTATCCGCTATTAGAGCAAATATAGTTCAGTTTGTATGGATAGATGATTGAAACGGTTGAAAAAGATCTCAAGCATTGCCAAACAGGTACATTTATCTCACGAATAATAGTTTTTGAATTCTCAAATCGGGTACATAAGTTCTTGTTGAAGACTTGAAGGTGTGCATTTTATCTTTTGCATGTTCTATTTTCAAACCCAGGTGTTAGAAGAATTGAAGTAGATCAACTTTTAGCTTTAAATACATATCATTGAACAAACTGATCCTAATAGGGAGTATTATACAAAGTGCTGAAGTTTTAATAAGTTAAGTACAATTCTGATACAAAACCTATTTGATATAAAAACACACATAAGAGCAACTCACATTTTTTTGGAATAAGGTCAACTCACATTAAATCTTCACTTTAGCTGTTTAGCACTTGATAAATAAGAAAAATTCTAAGTCTAATAAAAAACTCTACCAATTGGAATTTCAAAAATATACAATATTGATGTCATATGAAAGATCATAAAAAGTGATAAAATTTGATATATGTTTTGCAAAAATTGGAGAACAAATAAACAAATTATATTACTTTAAATAAATTTGGGCTTTTCATTTTGGGATTTTTACAAAAATATTATTAAAATAAAATTTATTTACAAAAATATGACTAATAGTTACTACAATGTAGTGTCGTAGTATAAATTAAACATAAATTATTATGATTTCATTACTACTTCAGTCAGTAGTCACATTTTTTAAACAATCTTTATTTTAGTCATGTATATGTAATTATTTCTTTCATTTTTGCTGGCCCCACATCCGTTCCTTCTTCTGAGTAGCATGTACATCTAGGGATGTGTAAAAATATCGAAAAATCGGTATACCGCACTTATCGTACCGAAAAATATCGGAAAAATGGAAAATATCGGGATATTGGTATACTATCAATTTTTTGTACAATATCATACCGCACTGATTTATTTCGGTACGGTAACGATAAATGTTTTCAAATACAGCGGTATACCGGTATAATACCGTACGACATCCTACCCAACAATTTGAAAGCCCAAAATTAATGCTTTGGTTGGTTACAACTTACAAATACCAAAATACAAAAATAAAGCCCCTGTTTACCAAACTCACTTATAACCTTCTATGCTTCTACTACGTAACATTCAAACAAACTAACTCTAATGACTAATGAGTAATGTACTAATGTCTAGAAACAAGTCGATCTTGTTCCAAGAACTTGCGAGTCGCGATGGCTGAGCTGTTGAGTAGTTGATGAGTGAAGAGGGATACACTTATATGACGAGTGTATCTACATAGGGATTCCGCGAGTCGAGGCACACAACTTTGTCCGAAAGTCTTATTCAAAATTATAAAAATGACTACACACACAATATCATATTAAGAATAAATGATTTTATATCCATGTTGTTTGATTAATTTTATTTATTTTTGTTATAGATTACTATTAATTTAATTATATCTATATGAGAGAATAATGGAATGGCTTACCCAATTGGGAGCCCTAGATGTCAAATATATAATGAATAGAGTTCTGAGTACATTAGGAAACATAAGAAATATGGAAACCTAATTAATGAATATTAATTACTCTATTACACCCACTCAAGCTGTGCAGGGGACACAATGCGCAGATTGTCTCTGAGAAAAATGAAGCGTTGCGGAGATAAACTTTTGGTAAAAATGTCTGCAAGCTGGAACTGTGTGGGAACATAGCGAACAACCAGGTCTCCATGTGAAACTCTCTCACGAACAAAGTGATAATCAATGCTGATGTGTTTGCTCCGAGCATGCTGAATAGGATTTGTGGATAAATAAGAGGCTGAAATATTATCACACAATAACCGAACAGGCTGGCAAATAGGTACGCCTAATTCAAACAATATAGACCGGATGTGGAGAATGTCTTGAACTGTGTAAGCAATAGCCCTGTATTCTGCTTCTGTGGAAGAACGAGAGACTGT